CCTCTGGCTACATATGTACATGACATGTAAATATACAATGCACTAGCAGGCTGTGGAATGATTTCCTAAGTGTGCATGATTGAGAGTTATTTGGTTTCCATAAAAGAAGAATAAATTGACAATTTTGATATCATAATTTAACCCTCTGCAAAATGTTCCAATTTTTTTCAAGACAGAAAACTCTCATCAGGATAAAAATTATTTCAACATGTAAAATAAATGAATTATAAAGCCATTGTGTGTATTTCGTTCAATGTTTCACTCTTTTTAGGTCACCTGAGCTTTAGCTAAAGCTATCCGTTTTCGTCCGTCGTCGGGCGTTGTCTGTTAACGTTTTAAATTTTCAACTTAAGCTGAAATACTGTCAAAGGGATTTCATTGTTACTTCATAGGAATGTTACTGACAACTGCCTGACCAAGTGTTGTTATTTTTCAGGTCGATCAGAAGTCAAGTTCTACTGGGCCTATTTAACTAAAACTTAGTAGAAAGTATCAACTCATGGTCCTGACAAAGTTTTGTTATTTTTGGGTCAATCAGAAATCCAATATGGCCACCATGTCTGCCATTTTCAAAAACTATTTCAAACTTAAAGTCAAGTTCTACTGGGCTGATTTAACTGAAACTTGGTAGTAATGATCAACTCATGGTCCTGACAAAGTGTTGTTATTTTTTGGGTCGATCAGAAATCGAATATGGCTACCATGGCCGCCATTTTGAAAAACTATTTCAAACTTAAAATCAAGTTCTACTCATGGTCCTGGCAAAAGTGTTTTTTTCCAGGTCCATCAAAAATCCAATACGACCGCCATGGTTGCCATTTTGGAAAAAAATATTTAAAACTTAAAATCAAGTTCTTACAGCCAAATTAATTGAAACTCTGTCTAGGAATGATCAACTTCAATGTTCTGACAAACTTAACTTAAAGTTATACTTAACTATTTTTTACTCAAATTTCGGTAGGGATGATTGACACCATTATCTCCACTTCATATTTCAACAAAAATTAATACTGTAGAACTCACATGACCCTTTAGGCCCATGGGCCTCTTGTTGTAATAAATAAAATATTTATAGGGTTGATTAGCAATGCTTCTTTTGATCTTTTTATTGTTGTTCCTGTGCCAAACACTGCCACACACCAAAACATCGGTAAATATCAAAATAAACGAAAACTCACGTTTTTGGTATTTTTTTCCAGAAAAATCACCAGTTGATCAGTTGGTTCATAAAATCACCCCTACATAGTGACATAACTATTTTGTGATAGTTTCAACGAATTCTGCTTGTTAATTGCATAATGGTGGAGCCTCTTTAGAGAGGAATGCCCATGAGCTCCACCCTTAAAGAGAGTCCCTAGGTCTTAACTTTAAAAAGGTTAAGACTCCTACACATAACCATGCAATATATCGAATTGCTTAGCATTACCAGATGACCACAGTGATGCTATCATAATTGATCCTGGTGTCTGGTGCCACCCTTAGAGACTTGGTCATATTATCACAACTTGGAAATAGATAACATCCCCAACCTATAACCATATTTACAATGGCTGGGCATAAAAAGACAAATACAGATATACTACCAGGATTGGGCACTGTTCTAACCATGCCCATATGGACTTAGTCCCTTGGTCATAATATGGAAAGAGTTCAATTCCCCACTTGATATCCATATTTATCATATGAATACCATGTTATAAAGTGTCATAAAGCCATCACATTATTATGTTTATGTAACGTGTGTAATATCGCTTCGGAAATGATGTCACAATCGACAAGGAACAATCAATGTGACGTCACGTCATTGTGAAGATGCAGTTTTCATTGTTTCAGGGGCGGCCAAGCGCAAAATATTTGTTTCAGTTCACAATTATATAGTTTACTTTGTATTATATGATAAAAAGAATCTGTAATTTGTTATCCTTCATATTAGATTGATGATACTCGTTTTACTCAACTTACTTTCTAGGTCACAGGGGTCAAATATGGTAAAAACAACAATATCCCAATAGCAATTTAGACTAGAGTCATAATACTTTGGTATGTTATGTAGACCAGCTGTGTGAATCTTTTTCTTTATTATAATAAATAGTTTAAAGGTCAACTTTTAAGTGCTAGTCAGGGGTCAAAGGTCAACATGGGTTAAAGGCTTTGACAATCTTCTTCTTAAGTTCCATAAGGCCCAAGGTCATGATATTTGGCCAGTAGGTACCCAGGGTTGAATGCTATAAGGTTTCCTAATTAATATGACCTTGACCCACTTTTAAGATCACAGGGGTCAAGTATGGTAAAAACTTTAAACAACAATAGCCTAAGAACCATTTGGACTAGAGTCATGATACTTTGGTATGTTATGTAGACCAGCAGTACAAATATTTTATTACTACAGTAAAGAGGTCAAAGGTCAACTTTAAGTGATAGTCAGGGGTCAAATGTCAATGTGGGCTAAAAGCTCTAACAATCTTCTTCTCAGGTAACATAAGGCTCAGGGTCATGATATTTAGCCAGTAGGTACCTGGGGTTGAATGCTACTCATTAAAATGACCGTGACCTACTTTCAAGGTCACAGGGGTCAAATATGTTAAAAACCTGAAACAACAATATCCTAAAAACCATTTGGATTAGTCATGATACTTGGGTATGTCATGTAGACCAGCAGTGCAAATATTTTTCTTCATTACAGTAATGAGATCAAAGGTCAACTTTCAGTGGTAGTCTGGGGTCAAAGGTCAACATTGGTTAAATGCTTTAACAATATTCTCCTCAAGTTCTATATAATTCCCAGGGTCATGATATTTGGACAGTAGATACCTGGGATTGAATGCTCCTCATTAAAATGACCGTGACCTACTTTCAAGGTCACAGGGGTCAAATATGTTAAAAACTTGAAACAACAATATCCTAAGAACCATTTTGTCTATGTCATGATACTTTGGTATGTTATGTAGACCAGCTGTGTGAAAATATATGCCATTGCTGAGTATGAAAAGACAAAATACACATATTCTATCAGGATTATCCCTAGAGTTACCCCAACCCATGAAGAATAAGTCCCAATGGGTCATATTTTAGAACTGTTTATAGACATTTTTGTAAATTGTTAATGATCTCCTTGTCTTACTTCTTATAATAAAGCAAAATATCAAAATAATCATCAATATTGTTTATCTTGAATTTTATTGATTTTTTTTATTAATTGAGAGGGAAGAAGGGATATAGCTGTCACACGTTGTGTCTGTCCATCTGTCCATCTCTCCATGCATCCTTAGATTGGTTTTGGTTGTATAGGGTCATTTAAAGACATGCTTCCATGTTTGTAGTATATGCATGCATGAGTGTATGTTTGCTAGAGACAGGCTATGTTGCTGTAATTGCCTTGTTGCGGTAGCAGGATCTGTTACCTACTTTATAGTGCTACCTCACTGAAATACCATGCCGAATGCACCCAGTATAGCATTCCTTCTGGTCATAATATACTTAGAACAAGTGGAGATTGTTTGATTGGAGGGATTTTAGACAGATTTGGTCCAGAGCATCCCTGGGCAAGGGGAACCCAATTTTGTATAAACAGAGAGTATAGCCCCTTGGGGGCAGAGGGGAGGTGCCTAATAGGGGAAATTGAGATAATAAATGTTTAAAATCTTTCTTCTGTATTATGATTAGAAGGATTTAAACAAATTACTGCTTTCTTGGGCCAAGGGGACTTTATTTTGTATAAACAGAAAGTGTTGCCACCCTGAAGGCAGTGAGGTGGGGCCCAATAGGGGAAAATTTGAGGTAAATGATTGGAGGGATTTTTAGCCAAATTTTGTCCAGAGCATTCCTGGGCAAAGGGGAATCAATTTTGTATAACTGGTGTGTGTGCAAGCCCCCCACCCCCAGCCCTTTTGGGAAGAGGGGCGGGCCCAATAGGGGAACTTAGGTAAAAATTTTAAAAATCCCTCTTCTTCCATAGGAAAGGAGGGTTTTTAACTAAATTTGGCTCAGAGCACCATTTGGCAAGGGAGACTCGAATTGTATTTACAGAGAGTATAGTTCCCTTCTGGGTGCAGATAGGCAGAGCCAAATAAGGGAATTTAACGTTTAAATCTTTAAAATCCCCTTCTTCTGTATTATTGGGGAAATTTTATCCAAATTTGGCCTGGAGCATCCTTGGGCAAAGGGAATTCAATTTTAATCAAAGGGATAGTGTGACCCTACTGGAGACAGAGAGGTGAGGCCCAATAGGGGAACATAGTAATAAATGATTAAAATCCTTCTCTTTTAGTATGATTTGAGGGATTTTAAAACTGTATAGAGCTGCCTTGCCAAAAGGGACTCAATTTTGTATAAATGGAGGGTGTGTCCCACCTGGTTGAAGAAGGTCAGGGCCCAATATATATAGGGGAACTTGTGGGAAATCCTCCAAAATCCATCTCCTGTACCAGTGGAAGGATTTTAACAAAATTTTGTGGTGAGCATCCTTGGGCAAAGGGGGCTCAATTTTGTATAAAAAGAGGGTTGTTTTTTAATGGTAGAGGGATGGAGCCCATTTGGGGAAATTGAGGTTAATGTTTAAAATCCATCCAAATTCATGAGGGACGGATGTTGCTGAGAAACAGAGCAAATATTTTGAAATAGTTGCAGTATATGTTTCATGTTGCTTTATTATCCAGGTGAGCAATACAGGCCATCTGGGCCTCTTGTTTATTAATGGAGGATTACTAAATCTTTTCAGGGCAGAGGGGTGGGGCCCAATAGGAAAAATTGAGGTGAATGTTTAAAATTCAACCCAATTCACAGGGGCAGAAAGAAGGGACCCAATGAGGGATTGGTGTTGCTGAGAGACAACACATAATTAGTTTTATTAGCATTTATAGATCAAATAAGCTTTCAGCCTAAATGAAAATTGTGAATCACTTAGTCCAAAAGACATTTGCAAGTCTGATCAAGTACTGAATTAAATAGTTTTGCATCAGTAAAAGCTGTACTTCAGTAAGTTTTTATGATATAAATTGCAGGGAACTTCAAGTTGTCATTGACAAGATGGCTCCATTATTTCATGTGGACTATCTTCTGCCAAGGACTTTGATGACAGTTGTAAGATTTGAAGACCTGGAAAAGATTGTTTCATTGCACTATTTTGTGCCAGATATTTCCCTTGCAAAAGTCTACTTCACATTGCATACAAAGGGGTATTTGAATGATGAAGAACACAAGGTAAGTGTTAAAAATACAAAAGCTTCAAAAGTAGTTTGTATAAATCTATATAATTCACCAGTTATATAATAGCTTAAGTACATCTATATGATTCAGAAATTCAGCAAATTGAAAATCACAATTTAAGAAACATGTAAATACCCTGTAATGTTCATATTCATGAAGCCATCATTAGATGGCTTAATTCAAATCGCCTGTTGTTCTTGATTCGTCATCCATCCATTGTCCGTCTCTAAATGATGATTGTTATCGCTACTCCAGAAATACTGAACAGATCTGCTGTATTTCAAATTCCACATGAAAGTTCCCTCTGGTCCTTAGTTCTGGTTGGAAGAAAAGTGTGGTTGCCAGGCAGCTACATGTATCTTGTAAATTATGATCCCCAGAATAACATGATCAGCTTAAAAGTTAGCCACAATAACAAACATCATAACCATATATAATGTCGTCAGGTGGAAGCTTTGAGGTTGTAAAGAATCATATACATATTCATAAAGAGTAATACAAGATATTGGAAAACAGATTGTATTACTAATCTAAAAGCTTTGTTTAAGATTTGTTTAACAAAATACACTTATGCATTGTTGCTAAATATGCTGCCATAAGGCCTATTCATTTGATTATTTAACACTTTATATGCCGAGTGTCCCTACTCTGTGCTAAAACACCGCAAAAATTTAGTTCCTGAAATTATCATTTGTAAAAATTACATTTTCTATATTTTTTTGGGTCAAAATCTTGAAAATCTAATCCCTCATAAAATATAATAAACACTATTTCAAAGCATGCATATTTCTTTGATATACCAATAAATATACTTTAAAATATTGGTAAGTATTTATATTTTTATACAAAAGTCAACTGGGCTTATCTCCCTTCCTCCATAGACAGCAAATTGGATAGTCGACAACAGAGACTGTATCAATGAACATTTAGTTCCTTTACTTGTCAAGATTGTCAATTTCATTTCAGTAATAATTACCATAACTTTAGTATGCATATACAATACCTACACCCATCTTTGTAGCCCAAAAACAAAAGATTCAAAAATCAAATAAGAGAGAAAGGGGTCGTGCCACCAGCTCTCAGGGGTCTGGTGGTACTGTCTCTGTTCCTGTCTCGGGGGGTCTTGCTTCGGCGAGTCCCTCTCGTGAGCAGGGGGTGGCCCTTCCTGTCCAGGAACTCCCTGGAGTAGGGGAGGGGCAGCCCGACCCTGGCTTGGCACAGCCAAGGGTCGAATTGGCCGGGAACACCCGTAAGCTTTCGCGCTTGCCTTCGGGTAGGGACTACCGGCCGCTGGTCACTGACTCTGTCAGTGATCCCAGCATTCCAGGTGGTGCTGTCGTTGGGGACAGTCTTGGTGCCGGGCCCGTTCTTTTGGGTTCAGGTCCTGGTGTGACAACAGACTTTCTTTCGGGATCGTCTGTGTCTACCGGAATTAGTGACGCGCAGCTCACTAATTCTGGCATCAATGCTGGTCAGGCGTACCCTCCCGGTCAGTTACCCGGACCCGGTCCTATTAGGTCCGGTCCCGAGTTTCATTCTTCCAGGAACCTGGGGGGTTTGCTGGACAGGGGGCCGGTTTCCGGCCTCCGTGTTCCCCTGGCTTAGGGTATACGGGTGCCTGCGGGCAACCATCCTTGGGCCGCCCTTACCAGCCTGCGGATGGTTTTGGGTTGCGGCAGCATCCCGGCATTTACGGGCTTAGCCCGTACATGTCCGGGTTTCTACCGGGAGGGAGTGGCGGTCCACCTTCGCCCTTTGGGCAAGTTGGCCAGCCCCAGTCTCAGGCAGGCCAGTTTGGCCAGTTCTGGGGTCACTCCCAGCGCGCGGGACCTTTCCCTTATCCTCCGGGATATGGGTTTAATCCCATGGCATTTCCGTCGTGGAATCCTTGGGGTTTGGTCTCTCCCTCGCGGCGAGGTGTTAGCAGTTCTGTTGACCCCCCCCAACTTTCTGCTACTTCGGGGGCCTTATCGGCCGGTCCTAAGAAGGCGTGTCGGACCTTTAGGACTTCTGCCTCTCGGGAAGGCTCGTTGGTCTCTGGGTCTAAGGGTAGGGTTTTGGCTACTAAGCCTAAACCTACAGTCACGGCCGTTAGGCGCACTGCACCTAAACGCCGGTACGGGGAGCCTTCTCTCGGGTTGGCCCCTCTGGCTGGCCCATTTCCTCCGCCCGAGGCTTTTGGTCTGGATGGTGTGGGGCTATGGACGTTGAGGATGCTGGTATGGCAGAGGACAATGATGTTGTTCATCTTTCACCTGGTTGCTCGGATATTGACGCTGGTCTTTCCGAGTCCTCTGATGACGGTCCTCAGGAGGGCTTGCCCTCAGAGGAGGACTTCCAGGATGAGGGTGACCCTGAGGCTGCTGAGGTTGAGGCCCAGCATGTGTTGTCCGGTATGCGGGGCCTTAGGGCCGACGTTTCCAGGATTCTTGGGGGAGGAGGTTTGCCCACCACCTTCGGCGTCATCTGACCCCGAGTCCACCACCCTTTTGGGTTCTTTGGTGGCTCCTCTGGTGTCCACTCGGTCGGATCGCTCTCTGCCAGAAGGCACCATTGTGTCTTCAGCTCTGGCCACCGCCCAGTCTCCGGTTTTAGAGAAGAATTCTTCTTCAACCCATAGTCCATGGTATGCTGGGTTGCAGCTCAGTGTTGGCGATTTGTCAGAAGTGCACGCCACTGACTATGCCACACATGATGGCCTGCTTGCCCCTCAACCAGCTAAGCTGGAACCGAGGGAACTTGCAGCTTAGCCCGGTAAATCGGTGGACCAGGTGGTGTTCGGTCCCAAAGAACACCACAAGATGGAGAGACTGCTGCGTCTCTCCATCCAGATTCTGTCTTATATAGACTACCTGACGGTTTGTCTATATAGGGTATCCGACTTGCCTGAGGGTCGGATTACCGAGACAGAGCAGGCCGACATCCAGAACAGAGTGACCTCTGCCCTGAACGGGGCATTGAGAGCGCTGGCAGCTTTGGGTTTGGGTTGGACAGGCCTAGGGTCCGGCAGTTGGCTTCGCAGTGGAATTTGCCACTGGTGCTCGATCTTGTCTGGTTTTGCCCATTAAGCAGGGTCAACAGGATATCTCCTCTCAGTCAGTGTCTAGATGGATCTGTCAGGTCATCAAGTACGGTTACAACCACTCGGATGATCAGGTTCGGGCGTTGTATAAGGTTAGAGCTCATGAGATCAGGGCCCTTACTGCGTCATGGGCCCTCCTCAATGGGTCCCCCTTTCAGGAGGTCATGTACGTGGCTTTCTGGCGCGGACAGACTACCTTCACGGATTTTTTATCTCCGGTCCTTGGCTTCTCATTCTGATGGATTGTATTCCCTTGGACCGGTGGTGGTTGCACAGTCTGTGGCTGTTCCTCCACAGTAATTCAGTGATTTTAAATAGTATGCTATCAGGCACCACGGTGGTACACCTGCTCGTTTCACGGGGAGGTTTTCCATTTTTTTAATTACTTTCGGGGCTTTATTAGGGGGGTTCCTTGAACCTTTTCCCTACCTTGAGCATGTCTCGAGTTTGTTCCGTCAGCCTGGTCTGCCTGGATTCGAAGCCTCCACTACGGTAAGACGAATTCGCATACTAAAGTTATGGTAATTATTACTGAAATGAAATTGAGGTTTTTGAAGTAAAACCAATTTNCAACAGGCTATTTTTATCACGACCGGAAGTCAAAGATGGCCGCAAGAACCTTACTTACGGTTTTGGAGTTTTGGCTCCGATTTTATAGAAAATTGGTACATAAGGGTTTTCAGAGCTGCCGAAAACAATGGAAACGGTTTTGAACAGCTCAGTTGTCATGTTAACGAAATGGAAGCCTCTGATTGGTCGAAAATGGAGGCCTCTGACTGGTCGAAATTTAGCTGTTGTCTGATTCTGCCACAAATTGGTACATAGGGTTTTTTAGGGATTCCGAACACAATGGTAACAGATTTGAAAAGTTCAGTTGCAATGGTAACGAAATGGAGGCCTCTGATTGGTCGAAATTTAGTTGTTTTCTGATCTGCCCAAAATTGGTACATAGGGATTTTCAGGAATTCCGAACACAATGATAACAGTTTTGAAAAGTTCAGTTCCCATGGTAACGAAATGGAGGCCTCTGATTAGTCGAAATTTAGTTGTTTTATGATTCTGCCCAAATTACGTACATAGGGGTTTTCAGGAATTCCGAACAAAATAGTAACAGTTTCAGTTTCGAAAAGTTCAGTTGCAATGGTAACGAAATGGAGGCCTCTGATTGGTCGAAATTTAGATGTTGTCTGATTCTGCCTAGAATTGGTACATAAGGGTTTTGAGGGATGCGAAAACACGATGGTAACAGTCACGATAGATTTAGTTGCGATTGTAACGAAATGGAGGCCTCTAATCGGTCGAAATTTGTTGTCTGATTCTGCCCAGAATTGGTACATAGGGTTTTAAGGGATGCCAAACATAATGGTAACAGTTTCGAACAGATCAGTTGCCATGGTAACAAATGGAGTCCTCTGATTGGTCGAAATTTAGTTGTTTTCTGATTCTGCCCAAAATTGGTACATAGGGATTTTCAGGGATTCCGAACACAATGATAACAGTTTTGAAAAGTTCAGTTCCCATGGTAACGAAATGGAGGCCTCTGATTGGTCGAAATTTAGTTGTTTTATGATTATGCCCAAATTACGTACATAGGGTTTTTCAGGAATTCCGAACAAAATGGTAACAGTTTCGAAAAGTTCAGTTGCAATGGTAACGAAATGGAGGCCTCAGATTGGTCGAAATTTAGATGTTGTCTGATTCTGCCTAGAATTGGTACATAAGGGTTTTGAGGGATGCGAAAACACGATGGTAACAGTCACGAAAGATTTAGTTGCGATCGTAACGAAATGGAGGCCTCTAATCGGTCGAAATTTGTTGCCTGATTCTGCCCAGAATTGGTACATAGGGGTTTTAAGGGGTGCCAAACACAATGGTAACAGTTTCGAACAGATTAGTTGCCATGGTAACAAATGGATCCTCTGATTGGTCGAAATCTAGCTGTTGTCTGATTTTGCCTATGTTCCTAAGTCCAACAGGGGTCTTTTGGGGGACTAATCTGTAACGGCCATCCGTTACAATTATTACTAGTTATTACTGAAATGAAATTGAGGTTTTTGAAGTAAAACCAATTTTCATGATATAATACTTACCATAACTTTATGGAGTCCCACCCTGTATTCCTCCCCTTGCCTCCTTATCCTGGCTGCCTGGCTCCATAAAAGGGGGTTTGAGGAAGGGAGATCACTCCGTGGCTCTGTCATCGAGATAGAGGTTACGTCACGGTAGGGAGGTAGGGATATTTGAATCTTTTGTTTTTGGGCTACAAAGATGGGTGTAGGTATTGTATATGCATACTAAAGTTATGGTAAGTATTACATCATGAAAATTGGTTTTACTTCAAAAACCTCAAATTACTATCAATGTAAATTTGATTTTTTGTAATTTTGGTTTATAATCATGAATATTTAAGCTTACAGAAATAATAAGTTAGACCCACAGTTTGCAGACTAAAAAGTTTTTAAGGTCAAGGTCATTGTTGCTAGAAATAGGCCTTGGAGGATACCGTTCTTATTTCAGAATCCAAAAGACTAATCTTTCTGAAATTTGACAGTTTGGTCTTCAAGTAATCAAGTAATTGATTGATTTTGAGACTGATTGAGGAAAAAAACCAAGATGGTTGTCAGGCAGCAATCTTTGGTTTTGACAGTTTATGTATGTTATCACTATTTCTCAAGAAGTAAACAAGTATTTACTTTGAAAGGACACTCATGGTGCAATTACCGTTGACAAGACTATTAGTCTAAGAAACAAGAGAAAAGAAGAGAGAAGAACAAACTAAGATAAAACTAATAAAGACCTTATGATGGTGGGTGCCAAGATCCCTCTAGGATATCTTGATTTTAGCTTACCTGCATGGTCCAAAGGACCAAGGTAAGATATTAGCGTAATGTGGCGTCCGTTTGTCAACAATTTTTTCAAACAACATCTTCTAAACCACTGATTGGATTTGACCAAAATTTGACTGGAAGCATCCCTATATAGGTGGTGGGGATTCAAAATTGTACAAATAGAGGGGCTGATCCCCCCAAAGGGCTGAAAGGCCTGGCCAAATGGAGGTAATTAAGGTAGCCATATTGCTTCAGTGTCTTCTTCTCTGGGAATAAGAGATGGATATCAACCATATTTGGTTTGGAGCATTCTCAGGTGGTGATGATTCAGAATTGTACAAATAAAAGGGGCTGACCCACAGGAGGGCTGAAGAGCCAAAAAGGGTTATTTGGCCATATTGCTTGAAGCTACCTCTGAAACAAAGTGAAGGATATCAACCATATTTGGTCTGGAGCATTTTTCACTGGTTGAGGATTAAAAATAATAGCAGTTGAGGGGATGATCACAGGATCCGAGGGGTGGGGCCAAAAATATTTTTTTACTTGGATATTATCAATATCCCCACCCTATAACTGCTGAGAGAGACGAATACAAGAGACGAATACAATCATGATATAAAAATTGACCCTGGGGTCTTGCCCTACACCTAAAGACTCACTTCCTGAGCCATTAAACTTTAAAGCAGTTGAGATCCCTAACCTAAAACAATATACCATTGCTGGGCATCAAAAAAAACCCACAATCATGATATAATATTTGACCCTGGAGTATGGCCCTAGGGATTTAATTTCTTGGTCATTACTTTGAAATGGTTGAGATCCCCGCCCCATAACCATTTTTATCATTGTTTGGCATCAAGAGACAAACACAATCATGACCCTTCTTGGGTCTGGCCCTAACCCTAGGCCAGGGACTTAATTTCTGGGCTATAACCTTGAAATGATTGAGACCCCCAACCCATAGCCATTTATACCATAGCTGGGCATAAAGATCCAGGTTAGAGATACAGGCCCTCTGTGACTCTGGTTTAATAATATGATGTCATCTTTTTATCAACACTGCAGATTTCCTCAATTGTCACTTCTATTTTGTTACAGGTTATACAGAGTTGCTTGGAACAGATCTTGGAGCAGATTTCGGGGATAAGTCAATGGTAAAGTATAATATTTATTCTAATAATCAATTAGTATTCAAGTTTTGAAACTTGGAGATACAACAGGATTTTGCACCTTGTTTGTCCGTTGTGTCTCCATTCTTGTCTTTACCTTGTGAATAACTGAAATATTTTAATAAATCTTCATTGATTGCTTGAATGTACAATCAGATCTGTATTAAGAGACCTTTATGAGAAGTCTAAAATGTTTAATATTATTTCAGGTGGTCTATTAACGCTGTATAATTTTTCAATTTTGTTGGTGTAAACACCTCGCAAGTAGTTCTGAGTGCTAATTAAATATCTTTAATATAAGATCTTTTAAAATGTTGTATATTATTTAATAAGTTTCTTACAATCGTGGGTAGAGTCCTTGGGTGTATGACAATAATTTAACATTAAACTGGTTTCCATATCATGCATAAAATTTACCTCCTGCAGAAAAAGGTATCAAGATATAACTTCCCATCCTGCAGACACTTCTTATACCATTACCACCTAGTGTGAAGGACCAAGATGAAATAATGCTGTTCCACATCCGTTGTCTGTTGTCCGTCCATCAACAATTTCTTGAAACAACTTCTTCTCCTTAACAGCTACTTGGAACATAACCAAGTTTGACTGGAAACATCACTAGGTAAACGTGTACAAATGGAGGGACTGACCCCTTAGGGAGCTGAAGGGCAAGGCCCAAAAGGAGTAATTTTGCCAAATTCTTTTACTCAACTTCTTCTCTCAAGCATCCCTAGGTGGTGAGGATTCAAAGTTGTACAAATGGAGAATCTGACCAAAAAAATGGCTGACAGGCGGGGCCAAAAAGGATTATTTTGCCTTACTGCTTTTTCAGACTTCCTCTCTGGAGTAATAGAAGGGTATCAACCATATTTGGTAGGAAGCATTCCTAGGTCATGGGGATTTTAAATTGTAGAGGGCTTAAGGGCAGGGCCAAAAAAGAGTCATTTGTCCATGCAAATTGCTTTAAACGACTTCTCCTCTGGAACTCAGACAAGGATATAAACTTTGACTGGAAGCATCCCTTGGTGATGGGGATTCAAAAGTGTACAAATGAAGGTACTAAACCCCCAGGGAGATTTACCAAATTTTTTGTACAATATCATTTGGCAAAGGAAATTCTGTTTTGTTTATATGGAGGGTAGGTATGGCTCCCATGGAGGAAGAGGGGCATGGCCCAGAAGGAAGAACATAGGGGAAAATGTTTAAAATCATTCTGCTACTGTAATAGAGGGATTTGAACCAAATTTGGTGTGTAGCATAAATAAGGCAAATGGGACTCAATTTAGTACAAATGGAGGGTATGGCGCCCCATGAGGACTGAGGGGCAGGGTCCTAATAGGAGAAATTCAGATAAATGATTTAAAATTCTTCTCTTTCTGTACCAATGGAGGGGTTTGAATCAAATTTAGTCTAGAACATCTTTGGGCAAGGGGAATTCACTCTGGTATAAACGGAGAATGTGGCTTCCCTGGGGGCAGATGTGTGGGGGAGGGCAATTAGAGACAATGGGGGAAATATTTAAAGTCCTTCTCTTTTTGTATGAATGGAAGGATTTGAACCAAATTTTATGTAGAGCATCTTTAGACAAAGGGGACTCAGTTTTGTATAAATGGAGGGTGTGTGCCCCCCCCCTCCCCCCTACCCCTGGAGGCTGAGGGGCAAGGCCATTAGAAGAAATTCAGGTAAATGATTTAAAATTCTTCTCCTTCTGTAGGAATGGAGGGGTATTGAGTATGGGTCTCGCTGGGTATAAAAAGCGCATTACCCGTCAAACCGGTTATCATTTGTTCAATATGTGCACAAGGTGACACTACTATACTATATATATAGAACACTTTCAGGCATGATCTTTTACCAACATTTTTATCAGATTAGTTGAATAAAATGGAAATGGAACACGTCAAAGATACCATTTATCTGAGAAAAGTGGAAATAATAGCAAAATACAACCAATTAAAATATTTAATGCAGAATCTCCCCCCTCCCCCCCTCAAAACAACAACAAAACAAACGGCCCTAAAAGAAATAAACATAGGACTTATGCTAATGTCTACCTTTTAGATAGCCAATAAGTAATAAAATTCTATGTGAAAACAATACTAATTTCAATTATTTTTATGAGAGCAGTTCTGTTATCAAATTTCACATTGATGATTACACACCTGGGAGTATCGTATTTTGCACGTGTTTTGCTAGTAAAGTGTCTATACGACGAAGACAAAGAATAAAGTATTTTATGGTGCCGTTGATACATATTCGATACAACACTAAAAGTCGATCACATCAGATTTTATTTAAAATTGTACAATTTTACTGCACATTCTCTCTGCATTACACTTCATTCTTTAACAAATTGCTGTTTTTCTTCCATGTAGCGACACTTTGTTTAGAATATACAAGGTTGGAAAAGATGTCTTGGAAGAAGCCTTGCGGAAGAACAAGTCCCTTACCATCTACAGAGCAGCAGGAGTTGTGCTACAGGCACTGGTTTTGTTCCAAAATGCAAAGGACAAGGAAGAAAAGGAAAAGAGAGACAAACCATCTGAACAGATTCATCTCCCTGTGTTTCAAAAAGTCGTAAATGACATTTTGAAATTCTTGCAATATAAACATTCTACTTTTTGTACTGGTACGGATTGCAAGGAAAATTTGAGGGTAATATTTTGTTTTTAAAACTTATAGTTTAATTTACATTTTAAGCAGAATGCTGTTTATGTCTTTATTCATATGATAGGTTATTGGATGAATGTCTGCACACGGAAAAAGATATTGTATCATGAAACAACTGGATTACCGGGAAAATTGTATACAGTACTAAAAAGCTAATCAGCCCCCCTAATCACTGGCAGGAAAGTAGGACTACTAGATAATTATAATAATATTAATAATAATATACAACATTTATATAGTGCCCTATTTTATTTGTAAAATTACTCTAAAATGCTTTACAACATATGGATAATAGTAAAAGTTATGATTGTGAAACAAAAACAAAGGCTTACAATCACTTTTATACATTTAAGCAAGCAATGTGCACATACACACACACAGCATGTAACAGATAAGTGGTGGCAGGAAAGTCGGACAACCAAATCAGTGATGGCTGGATAGAGGGACAACCAGATTATTGGTTGCAGGAAATGGGACAACCAGATAAGTGGTGATAGGAAAGTAGGACAACTAGATTAGTGGTGGCTGGATAGTAAGACAACCAGATAAGTGGAGAATAGAGGGTGGGAATATTAGATTAGTGATGGCTGGATAGTGAGTGATGCGTGGATAGTTGGACAATTAGATTAGTGATGGCTGAAAAGTGGGATAATTAGCCCCCCCACCAGATCCCAGGGCGGACTATAGGTTTGCACTCCGCCGTATGTCTATGAAGTTTGCCCAGGACATATCTTTTATACTATTTCACATTGAGTAACCAGATTTGCAAGAAAAAGGTCACTATGACCTTACTGTGACCTAGCTATGCTTTGCCCTTTGACCTTAACTTTTGAAAAAGTTTGTCCGGGGCATTTCTTCTGTACTATTTCACCTAGTGTAACCAGATTTGGTGGACAAGGACATCTTGGAATGGCGGAATGCAGAGTGCAAGAATTAGGTCACTGTGACCTATGACTTGACCTCTGACCTTAACTTTTGAAAAAGTTTGTCGCAGCCATATCTTCTGTACTATTTCACCTGGAGTAACCAGATATGGTGTTCAAGGACATCTTGGGATGATGGAGTGCGGAGTGCAAGAATTAGGTCACTGTGACCTCACTGTGACCTATGCTTTGCTCTTTAACCTTAACTTTTGAAAAAGTTTGTCTCGGGATATCTTCTCTACTATTTAACCTGGAGTAACCAGAGTTGGTGTACAAGGACATCTTGGGATGGCAGAGTGCAAAATGTAGGTCACTATAACCTCACTTTGACCTATGCTACCTGACATAAGTGACATAGTGATGGCGAGATAGTGGGACAATAAAAGTAGTGATGGCCGGATAGTCAGACAACCTGATTAGTGATGGCTGGAGAGTGGGACACTTAGATTAGTGATGGAGGGATAGTCGGACAACCTTATTAGTGATGGCGAGATAGTGGGACAATTAGATTAGTGATGGCTGGATAGTGGGACAATTAGATTAGTGATGGCTGGAGAGTGGGACACTTAGATTAGTGATGGCTGGATAGTGGGACACTTAGATTAGTGATGGAGGGATAGTCGGACAACCTTATTAGTGATGGCGAGATAGTGGGACAATTAGATTAGTGATGGCTGGAGAGTGGGACAATTAGATTAGTGATGGCTGGATAGTGGGACAATTAGATAAGTGATGGCTGGAGAGTGGGACACTTAGATTAGTGATGGCTGGAGAGTGGGACAATTAGATTAGTTATGGCTGGATATTGAGACAATGGAATTAAGAGACTCAACCTTATTCCCTAGCATGGACTCATCTTGTGACACCATAAAGTATAGCAACATTTTACGGCATTGGAATAATCTCTAATGTCCTTTGGTGTGACACATATCTTACTGTATGGAGAATAAATTTCTTAAGTCACCTGGTATATACATGTCTTACATAATAGAGAACTAATTTCTTAAGAACCTTTCGTATAAGATGTTTCTTACTGAAAAGAAAACTAATTTATTAGGGCCCCACAAAATGCAGGTGCCCAATAGTAATCAAGGTGTCTGTCCATCCATCCGTCTGTTCGTCAGCACTTTTGTTTCCGGCGATTATATTATGAGCTAGATGGCCAAAATTTCTGAAATTTCACATGGTGATACACTGTAGGAGGCACAGTAGTCTAGTAGTAGGACGCCGGGCTCTTGAGCGAAGGGTTGCGTGTCACGGCACATCACTGTGTTGTATCTTTGAGCAAGATACTTAACTCCGCTTGTTCCAGTCTATCAGCTGTAAAGGAGTATGTGGTTGGGCAGTGCTAGAAATGTTGAATGCCAGTTGTGAGCGCTGAAATGGCAGCACCGGCTGTATGCTCCCCAAGGAGTTGAGAGAGATATTGGCTGGTTGCAAAGGCCCTATAACCACGGATAATAATTTATGAACCGCTTTGAGAGGACCTACAAACTAGGTTGTGGTAAAGCGGTATATAAGAACCTCAAATTATCATTATTATTATTACTGTGATGTGCAGATGTGCAATAGGGGTTTAAAAAGTTCCTAAGGTCAAGGTTTCTGTTACTAAAAAATAGAATTGGGAATATACTGTAAAAATACATCATATAAGGCCCTAACAGAAGGCCAGACTTTCTGAAATATATGCAGACATGCAAAAGTGGTTCAAAAAATTCTTAAGCTTTTGCTTGGTGCTTACAGCGGGGCCCATACTGACCTGTCCATTCTTTGGACTTGCCCATGTTCATGGTGATTGTCGGTGTCAGATGGTTATGAATTGCTTAAATAATAATGATAATATTTTTTTTAAAACATGGAATTTCATTGATATTTATTTATATTAATTGCATAATAAAAGAAACTTACAAATATACACAACTTTACATTTTGCACTTTTTACATATATATGTATATAGGATTTGTCTTTATTTGTATTTCTGATAATATACACTAGATATGGGATTCCTTTCTGAAAATTGACTTGCCCCCTGGAAAAATGAGAGAAGAGTACATAGATGAAACAAGGAGCAAGCTCAAGAAAATCATTGCTGAGAAGGTAAATATCATTGTTTTAAAATGTGCAGAAAAAGGTATATACCTCAGTGCCTAGTATCATTTGTTACAGTATTGTGTTATATCCCCAACAGAGTTAAGGGAGTTATTCATTGTCACTTAGTAGCTGCTGAACATTGTTTCTGAGATCTGTGATCTTTAGTGTATGTATTATCAAGGTTAATGTTGCAGCAAAGGATTAAAGGTCAATTCACAGAATTGCTTGTCTGGACTTATAACTGAACAGTTGACACAACTATTATGACAAGATGACTCCAGGTAGCTTATATCATCACCCTAGGCCTTTTGGTTACTGAGAAGAAGTTGCTTAAGTCTAAAGACTAACGTCTGTACAGAGTGTACTACACCCGTAAGCATTATTTAGTAAGACATGTATGTATGACTTTAACCCTAAATGGTCAGAATTCATATCCTCAATTTTGTTTTCAGAATGTAACTTTTAAATTATGCAGATTTTTTGTGTGCATTAAGACAGTGAATGTTCCTAATTACATCTGCTAAATATAATATCACTCATTCTTTGTTGAGGTTATATGAAACTTGATATATTCACATTGTTACTCTAATGGTCAAAAGCTCAGTGAGGGTATACATTCTGTGAGTCTTAGGAGTTTTTGTGATGGCACAATCCTGCATTCGTCATCAGGCATGCGGATGCATATCTGGCTGTCATTATGTCTGTTGTTTAGTTTCTCTTTAAATGACATCTTCTACAGAACTGTAAGGCCTATATGATTCCATTAGTACTTTCAGGTATTTTGGCATTTTGGCATCCTCGATACTCCAGGGAAGCAGAGAGCAGAAGTGAGCGTAACCCCTGGAATATGTCATAGCAAAATCAAAGGCTCAGTTTGAGCCACCTTGAAGTCAGGTGTCGCTCGTCTGTAATCTTCAAAGGACAGGTATCAGCAAAGCGATCGGTCAGTTATTTTTATCCGAGACCAGTCAAATATATTTCTAGCCGGGTGCCTTCAATTTCGCTATGACATATTCCAGGGGTGCAGAGAGCATAAGTGAGCATAACGCAATGATATCAGTAATGGCTGAAAAATTAAGTTGTCTTGGAACTGGGAATAGATAAAAAAAACCACTTACATCTCCTGAAGGACTTATTGTATTAGAACCAAATTTGCTTTAATGCATACATGGACAGGAAAATCAAATGTGGTATAAACAAAGGGTGTGCCTCCCCATCCCCATTTGGGCTGAGGGGCATGCAGGGCCCATTAAGGGGAAATTAGTGGATTTTTGCATCCAAAAGACTACCTGTCTTGAAGGGCTTGATTGTAACCAAATTTTAGAATTGAACATAAGTAGGACCAGGAAGTCCAATATTGTACAATGGGGTACGTTTGTTGATGACAAACGCCTAAATAAGCCAAAATGAGGCAGTTTAATCATCAAAAGCTTACTTTTTAGCCCACAGATGATGGTGGGCTATTCAAATCACCCTGCGTCCGTGATCCGTCGTCCGTCCGTCGTCCGTCCATAAACAGTTCTTGTTATCGCTATTTCTCAAGAAGTCCAAGAGGGATCTTTCTCAAATTTTATATGCAGGTTCCCCTTGGTCCTTAGCTGTGCGGGGCATTTTTTCGAGACTGATCGGATAAACAACATGGCCGACAGGCAGCCATCTTGGATTTTGATAGTGAAAGTTTGTTATCGCTATTTCTCAAGAAGTACCAGAGGGATCTTTCTCAAATTTTATATATAGGTTCCCCTTGGTCCTTAGCTGTGCAGGGCATTTTTTTGAGACTGATCGGATAAACAACATGGCCGACAGGCAGCCATCTTGGATTTTGATAGTGAAAGTTTGTTATCGCTATTTCTCGGGAAGTACGGGAGGGATCTTTCTCAAATTTTAAATGTAGGTTCCCCTTGATCCCTCGTTGTGTATGTTATATTTTGAGACTGATCATAAAAACAAAATGGATTAAAAGAAGAACTAAACAGATCTTTCTCATATTGCAATGATCGATTCTATTTCTTTCACATTAAGTACTGTACTAGTAAATATGTGAAATGACAAACTCACTTTGAAGGTTGGCTTTCATACACATCAGTATTAAGTTTAGATCAAAAGTTACCTCAAGGTGCATTTATTGTTAACATGACTTGATCAAACAGATTAGAGGAAAGAAGAGAAAAGATCGAACTGACAAAGAACTAATGAAGACGGTACAAAGGTGGGCGCCAAGATCCCTCTGGGATCTCTTGTCCTGTATCTGAAGCACCAAGAGGGCAAGGTCATATTTTTATAAATTGAAGTTAATACAACTTCTTTATTGACTCTGTATGATGGGGCATAAAATTGGCCAATAATTTGGCCAAATATGGGGAAAAATTAGAAATTTAAATCTTAAAAAGGCTACTCATCCTGAATGATTGCACAGATATTGCTACCATTTTAATTTATTGGGTTAAGAGATCATTTTTTGGGAAATGTAGTTGGTATGACCTTTAGAAAGGCTCAGAGGAATGCACTCCTGTACCATTTAAAAGTTTTTATGATCCCCAAAATAAAACCACATACATAGGTCCACACATAGTGGGCATATAATAGGAATGAATACATCCATGCTACAAGGATGATGTCCCTGGGATCTGGTCATATCCCTTAGGGATTAACTCCCTTGGTCACAACATTTAAAAGGTTGAGATCTCCACCCAGTTGCCATATATATAATTAGTAGGCACGAAGAAACATATACACTTATTATTGACTTATGCTACTGTGACTGCCCTCAGGGTCCTGCCTGCCATCCCTATAATCATATACACACAATGTATATCTATCATCGATCCTTGGTCTTTGGGACCTTGGATTAGTTGTTGCATGCATAAAGGAAGATTTATGTAGATCACCTGAGGGCTTTAAAGGTTCAGACTAAAAAAACCAGGTGAATAGTGCAGGCCTTATGGGTCTCCTGTTTACAGAAAAACAATATTTAACATTAAGTGTTTTCTATTTGTTCGTTATCAAACAATATTGAAATGTCATGATTGAATATTTTTTTGCAGACAAATTGTGACAGTTTGCTTACGGTGTATTGTGAATGCGTGGATATTTATGGCGATGATGTTCAAGATATTCTGTCTGAGATTGCATTTAAGGTATGTTTGTATTTTTTTAAATATGCCCTGTTTTTAACCTCCATTGTTAATTCTGCAATATACCTCAAAAATGTCCACCTCAAACTTTGGTCCCTGATAAAAAATAAAAATAAACAAAAATATCCAAAAGTTTCACCAGCCTTTTGTAAAGATTTAACCAGCCTCCTGTCTACTGTTAAGCAAATTTGAGTCACATAGGTTTTTGTCTAATTGGCAGCTTGAGGAACTTTGATGCCTTTCTGTTGGAGAGTTTCCAAGAAACTAACTGACTGCTTATGGTGTTTGATCCAATTAAAACCCTTCACATTTACTCTAGATATTCATTGCTAGATACTAATGTATTGACATTTGACTAAAACAAAATTCAGCGTTTTAAGATGAAAAAACAACCTTCGTACACGAGCAACCTTTTTTTCCATCAAAGGTATTGGACAAAGGATCAACAATGACAGGTTATCACTCAGACACAGTGGCCAATGGTCGGTACAGAAAACTTTTGTCTGATGTGCTGGAGAAACAATGGACAAAGCTGAACAATGAGGAACTATTTGCCCATGCATTGAATTGGCCACCCTTCAGACACTTTGTGGAAATGTTCTGTATGTATAATTAACTCTTTTATTGCTGTTTTCTTCACCAACATTTGACACTGTACATGTGTCACTCACTAATATAAATTATATAATGTGCATCATTTTTGATGTCAGTGTCATTCAAAGAAGTTCCAAAGATAAAATAAAGATGAAAAGTTTGTTTTCATAACTATTTATGTCAATGAATATTTACTTAGTACTATGATGTATCATATAAGGGTTTAGGATTATATGTATGTATCTATCTGCCAGCTCATAAATTCTGAGCTTCTGAATATTGTATATTTGCTTATTGCTGTTGATTATCACTGGAAAAGATATTACCTTTTTTTTATTTTTTTTTACATGTTTTTGACTTACCTTCTTTGTTGGCTAAAATCTGCAGATTAAAGTTTTGGTTTAAGTATTCTGATGGTTCGCCATTCATGTAAAAAGGATGCTGACTCTGATTGTTTTCTGTATCTGTTGGGGCACCAGTAGGGGACATGTATTAGAAATAATCATAGAATGCTTGTTTCAAGTGGGAAATAATTACGACTTCATTGGAACTATGATTATGTGAAGGCAGTTTGGTGATACAAAAATTAAGACCCTATTAAAAAGAGGTGAAAAAGGTTTAACAGAAATAAGTTTTTGTTAAGGATCATGAGGAGTAGGACATGTTGTAATTCCATAATAATCAACATTTCATAACTGGTATTTTGGAGATTGGAGAAGACTTGTAAAGGCTTTGTAAGTTTTCTGGCAGTTAACAGCTGTATTATATATACTCAGCAAAAAGGGAGAGGTTAGCCTGTGGCCAGCTACTCTATATTGTTAAAAAAGAACAATGGTTTGTGGTATAAACATATGGGAGTGGAATATCTATCAATGGACATCCTATTCATTGAAATCATTCAAGCTTGAAAGTCTGTGTATTCTACTCTCACTTGTAGTAGAAGGGGAGTCAGCTGTGAATCTTCTATATACAGCGTCCAGGTTGAATTCGGACACATGGATTAGGTAGGCCAGGTTGAATTCGGACACATGGATTAGGTAGGCCAGGTTAATATTCTGACTTTCCTTCCCTGCAGCGGCAGTCGGAATGCAGCGCTGAACTGGTTGTTTTTGATTTTCCAATCTGTTTTCTAGTCTGTTGTAACAGTCCTGTAAGGTTGAAACACTTTCCACTGAATTTGTTAATTAGTGAGATTCTGAGTGACGACCATCATGCAGTTATTTGGGATCGAACACCTCCCGAGGGATCATGGTATTGCACATTTCCATACTGTCAAGCCCAGCTTTGGCATCCTTGATTTTTTCACAAATGTCTATAAGCACCTACCCGATATGATACATTCAAACATCCCAGTTCTTCCTGCAGTCTATTAATTGTCCAATTTCCTAACGATTCAGGATCCTACTGTGCCTTCCTGGTAGCTTTGCAAACTCATTTAGGAGCCAATGATGGAAAGACCCTCAGTCAGTATTACAAGCATAACACATGCCACAGGCCTCACAGAACACAGCTACGGTTGATTAACTTGCTCCAATATGATAGTATGTCAATAGAATATGGTGTAGAGTTGAAAGGAGGTGCAGTTTGAATAATTACTTCATACTTACATATATATAATTACTTCACACTTACATATATATAATTACTTCACACTTACATATATATTATAAATTACTTCACACTTACATATATATATAATTACTTCACACTTACATATATATAATTACTTCACACTTACATATATATAATTACTTCACACTTACATATATATAATTACTTCACACTTACATATATATCTAATTAGCAAAGCAGCGTTCCTACTGTATGATTCACCGTACTATGAGATTGAACAACAAATATAATCAAAGATGGCGAAAGTTCAGTGATAATTAAAGACTGTAGATAACGTGATTGTAGCCATGTAATTAATCAGAGAAAAAATTGATTACCTACATAATACGGCCACATAGTCCATGGTAAAAAGTCACAATTATAGTAAGTCGAAGGAAAGATTAACGATTAAAAAGATGAGAGAAATGTTCTATCCCAAGACAAACAAGTGTAAATCTGCCAGCACTACGAAGAATGAAACTGAAGCTGGCAATACCAGTAACCCCTCTGAGACATATGTAATAGTTGACCTAGCTGTATGGAAACACAAGTCTTTGTTTCTCCTCAAATAATCCTCACTGGGAGTGTGGCCTCGTTAAACATGATTAATTGGGGTGAAACAATCTGTCATTTTACAAGTTCAATTCATCGCCACTGCAACACTGGTTTTGGTGCAAATGATGGTCTGTATGCACAGTACTGAATATTTATTCTAGGAAACTCACTCAGGACTTACCCTGCAATAATATCTAATAAAATCAATTCAGCCCAGCATTATTCTTTTTAATATAAACCCAGCAGGGTTCGAACTATCACAAGACTGAAAATTATTATTTTTATTATTCAAAAAGAGTGTTTGAACTATCTGCCTATTCAAACTGACTGAAGGTTTACCGTATTGTCTGTTGCACTTAAAAGGAACTGGTGAGGGATACAGACCCTACTTTGGCCTCTTGTTTAGAACAAATACATTTCTATTTGTCAGTATATGTAAGACATTCTATATTCCCACAGATGTTACTGACAAGTCTGACCATTTGAGTGAAGACTGTAACATAAAATTCACGCAAGCTGTGTCAGCCATTCTGGACAAAATGGAACGGCTAAAGGATGGCACAATCTTGGTGGAGGATTTGCATGTCATTGCAAAAAACTTTGACATGTTTGAAAGACTGGTGAAAATAATGTTTGAGAAAGACAAGAAAACAATTGGTGACACGTACATCAGACAAATGGTGGACCTCAGATACAAGGAACTAAAGGCATTCAAAAAAGCGTCTGAACATGTGGCTGTGTTTTTAAACATGTGCAGCAGAATTGAAGGTAAGATATTGTTATTTTGGTCTATTTACCTAACTGTATGGAATGTTAAATGTAACTCATGTGTACATGTGTAATTATGATAATTAATAACTATATTTATGTTTTGTTTGTGTGTCTGTGTCGGTGTGTGTATGTCCTATGTTGTATTGTAAGTAATCAAAAGTGAGTTACTTCCCTTTAATTACATTTTTTCGTTTACATTGATGTATTTTCATTTCAAAATATCTATACAATATATTTAGCTTAAGTTCTATAATATTCTTGTAACACTCTAGCCACCACTCTAGCCACCTATGGAAAGAATTTATATTGCCTGTTATTCGATCCATTTGACCATAACACCATGTCAATAAAATCTGTTGAAATGAAATGTTGTTATTTTAGTGGAATAGTAAATATCCTTTTGCAATAAAGTTGATCAAGGGATATAGGGTTCTTGTTGCTGAGGCAAAATTTACCTTATATCAGCATAATTTGACATCATTATATAATTTGTCAGCTTTGAGGGTATTGGGAAAAAAAAGGTTAATCTTCACATTTGAAATTTTGTGTTTTCTAAGCCTGAAGTTTGTTAAATTTTGGTGTTTTCTGATGTAAATATTTAAATGATTTACAAAAGGCATGAGTGTTTAGTGTTGATTAAAGTATTTTCCAATTTCAACCTTCATTAGCAAGCATTTGATATTTAATTATTAAATACAATGTGGCTACTAAAACTTAAACTGAAGTTCTAATGGTATGATTAAACACAAAACTTGTAGGGATGATCTACTGAATGTCCAGACAAAGTGTTGTAGTTTTTTCGGTCGGTCAAAATTTATTGTTGCTGCCATGGTCACCATTTAAGAAATATATTTCAAGCTTAAAATCAAATTATAATAGATCAATGTGAGTGAATGATCGTATATGACAACTAGGACCACCATATATGATATTATTAACCTGTCTCAAACATACAGTGAACCTACAGTCATATAAAACAAATTAAATGAATAATGTCAATCCTGTTCGAATTACCCAAAATCATATGACAGATTTCAACAGAGTTTGAACAATTAGAGTTGACATCAGTATAATCTTGAGTATACTCATGTGTCATCTGTCTGTGATGCATGGTCAATGTTTTTTTTATTCTGTACTGATAGAATGATATACATAGTTGGGGCCTAAACATTATTACCTCACCTGGTCCGAAGGACCAATGTGAGATTATGCCATACCGTTGCGTCCGTTGTCCGTCGTCCGTCGTCGTTTGTCCGTCCATCCGTCCGTCAACAATTCCTTTAAACGACTTCTTCTTCTTAACCACTGATTGGAATTCAACTAAATTTGACTGGAAGCATCCCTAGGAAGAGGGAATTCAAAATTGAACAAATGGTGGGGCTGACCTCCCAGGGGGCTGAGGGGCGGGGCCAAAAGGGGTCAATTTGGCTATATTGATTTAAGCAACTTCTGCTCTGGAACTAAGAAGTGGATATCAACCATATTTGACTGGAAGCATCCCTAGGTGGTGGGGACTCAAAATTGTACAAATGGTGGGGCTGACCTCCCAGGGGGCTGAGGGGTGGGGCCAAAAGGGGTCAATTTGGCTATATTGATTTAAGCAACTTCTTCTCTGGAACTAAGAAGTGGATATCAACCATATTTGACTGGAAGCATTCCTAGGTGGTGGGGATTCAAAATTGTACAAATGATGGGGCTGACCCCCCAGGGGGCTGAGGGGCGGGGCAAAAAGGGGACAATTTGGCTATANTTGTACAAATGGTTGGGCTGACCCCCCAGGGGGCTGAGGAGCGGGGCCAAAAGGAGTCAATTTGGCTATATTGCTTTAAGCGACTTCTTCTCTAGAACTAAGTATTGGATATCTGAACCATATTTGACTGGAAGCATCCCTATAGGTGTCAGGGATTCAAAATTGTACAAATGATGGAGCTGACCCCCCAGGGGGCTGAGAGGCGGGGCAAAAAGGGGGCAATTTGGCAATATTGCTTTAAGCAACTTCTTCCATGGAACTAAGAAGTGGATATCAACCATATTTGACTGGAAGCATCCCTAGGTGGTGGGGATTCAAAATCGTACAAATGGTGGGGCTGACCCCCAGGGGGCTGAGGGCGGGGCCAAAAAGGAGGCAATTTGGCTATATTGCTATAAACGATTTCTTCTGTAGAACTATGCCATGGATATTGATCATATTTGGTCGGAAGCATTCATGGGAGGCAGGGATTCAAAATTATACAAATGGTGGGGCTGACCCCAGGGGCTGAGGGGTGGGGTCAAAAAAATGTATTACTTGGAAATGGTTGAGATCCCCAGCCTATAACGATATATACAATTGCTGAGTATAAAGAGATGATTGCACATATGCTTCCAGGATGGCCTTGGGGACTGCTTCACCCTTGGAGACTTAACCCCTGGGTCATAACTTTGAAACGGTTGAGATCCCCACCCCAAAACTATATATACAAATGCTGGGCAAAAAGAGACAAATGCAGTCATGATATTAGAATTGATCCTGGGGTCTGGCCACAACCCTAGGGACCTAGTTTCTGAGTCAAAGCTTGGAAACAGTTGAGATCCCCACCCCATAACCATACATAAAATTGCTGGGCATGAAAACTCTAATGCAGATATGCTACAAGGATTGGCCTTGGGGTCTGGCATATTACCTTGATCTCACTCAGAGAATATTTTGCCATGATTGCTTTGGTATCCAGGTGAGCAATACAGGCCCTCTGGGCCTCTTGTTTAGCTAGCACATGCATGACAGCAAGGAGACAAACTGCATCAACGCTCACAAGTGGCATATATAAGTACAGTTTTCCATCACAGTTGACTATGATGGTCAAACGTCACAAGTACAGCTAGCACATTAACCAATTATTAATTACTGTTGGTGTGGAAATTTATCATTTCATTTCAGTAATAATTACCATAACTTAAGTATGCATATTCAATACCTACACCAATCTTTGTAGCCCAAAAACAAAGGATTAAAAAATTCCTGCCTACCCTTTCCTCAAGAGACCCATATCTCGATGATAGTGTCACAGAGTGATCTCCCTTCCTCTTACTTTAATGGCGCCCGCACTGTGCTGAACCAAAAAATATAAAAATTTCTTCCAATCATTTCTAAAAGGCACAGCTTTGACATATCAGTTTAAACCTAAGGCCAATTTTTTTTCTTCGATATTATTTTGATGCAATTCATATTTAGCAAAGTCCTTAATAACGGATACATCGATAGGATTTTGGTAAAGTTTTAATATTTTTCTATACTATAGGACTATACACTTGCTCTCCGTCCGTCTGAGAAGTCTGGCCAGGACTTATTTTCTATACTTTTTTACCTGGAGTAACAAGATTTGGTGTACTAGGACATCTGGGGATGGCAGAGTGCAGGAAAAACGTCACTATGACCTCACTGTGACCTTTGCATTGACCTTTGACATTAACTTTTGAAAAAAATTGTCCAGGCATATCTTATATACTATTTCACCTGGAGTAACCAGATTTGGTGTGCAAGGACATCTGGGGATAGCAAAGTGCAGAGTGCAAGAATTGGGTCACTGTGACCAATGACTTGACCTTCACTGTTGAAAATGTTAGTCCGGGGCACATTTTCTATAATATTTCACCCGGAGTAACCAATTTTGGTGTACGAGAACATATTGGCGAGTGCAAGAATTAGGTCACTGTGACCTATGACTTGACCTTTGACCTTCAATTTTGAAATTGTTTGTCCAGGGCATATCTTCTATGCTATTTCACCTGGAGTAATCAGATTTGATGGACAAACTACATGGACATCTAGGGATGGCAGAGAGCAATAATTAGGTCACCGTGAGCTATGACTGGACCTTTCACTTTGAAAATGTTTGTCTGGGGCACATCTTCTATACTATTTCACCTGGAGTAACCAAATTTTGTGTACAGGGCTTATGGGGATTGACTCATTTAGGTAATGATCACATGTTGCTATATATGTTGATTTTTGTTTTTCAGTTGATTGCAAAACACTTTTAACAATCCAGGAGGACCTGAAAAGAGTAGAGTGTTTGCCATTGGTACAGCTGTGTAAGCCAAGAAAACTGGAGGAAATAGCTCACCTTGATCAGTACCAACCAGAAGTGACTGTCTTTGGGTTAGATATGGATATCATGAATCTGATACCACATATGGGGCACTGCCTACAAAGTAATGTGTTTACTGTCATGTGGGACAAAACTGGACAGAGGGCAACCAAACAGAAAACTGGATCATTGACAATTGACGAAATGTTGAAACTGGTGTGGCAGCCCACCAAGAATTGGTGGAACAGAGTCACTAAAAATCTCCAAGATGGATCCATGAAATTTGATGAATTTAAAGATGTATTTGGAGATATGGATTATCAAAGACTGGGAAAGGAATTTTCCTTGATGGAGGAAAATGGACTCTGGATACAGGAACGTATGGATCAGATCCAGCTTTTCAGAGATCTCGCAAACTCTGTAAAAGGAGCAGAGATCATATTGAAGGTGGTGGACAAGTATGACCTGAAGGGAGACTTTACACCTATCCAGCTGATCACATCTGTCGTAAGTTTCAACTTATCAGGTTTATTTGATGATTAGCATCCTGACTCATTTTTTTCTATCAATTCCGGATTTTTCTTCTTCTAAAGAGACAGAAATATGACAGTGTTAACTTGAAGAAAAGTTTTCACTAAATCGTATGTTCATATTATGTAATTTCCCTGCTCGCTGCATTTAGCACACCAATCCATAGGATAAGGTCTGCCCGGGCTTATATATAATGTAATTCCTATTTTATCTTGCTATTTTTGTCTTTGCTGTTCTATCCCATCCTGTCCCAGTTCAGTGTCATCACCCTTGAACCTTTCTCAAAGTTTATATGTAGGTTTCCCTTGGTCCTTAGTTGTGGATGTTTTATTTTGAGACTGATTGAAAGAAGATGGCTGCCAGGTGGCCATGTTGGATTGTGGCAGTTAAAGTTTGTTATCACATATTTTCCCAGAAAATATTAGAGGAATCCTTCAAAGTTCCTATAGCCTCTTCTTGACATAGTTCTTAGTTATGTATGTTTCATTTTGATTTTAATTGGGGGAGAAACGATGGCCAACGATCAGGCATTCTTGTATTTGACTGTTGAAGTTTGTTATTATATCCCCCGCAACAAGGGCTGGCATATTGGAATCATCCTGTCTGGATCTGCTGTCCAAAAAACCTTGTCCAGACAACTCCTCTAAAACTACTGGCCCAATTTCACCAAAAGTTTTCAGATATGATAAATAATATACCCTGTGATGTTGTTCATCTAGATAGATTTTTTCTATTTCAACCATTTTTTTTACAGAGTTATTGCCCCAACCACTCTTCCTAAACTAGTAGGCCAATTTCACAAAAACTTTACAGATATGATTGCGAGCCCCTGTCATCATGTAGTTGTGCACTTCCTATGTATTATTTCATTTGTATCATCTCAATTTAGGAACAATTTTTCCAGGGAATCGTATCTTTTTTCCCCTCATATTTCCAAAAGTAGGTCTATGTGACCTGGTGTTTTACATTTGACTTCAGCCTCTGAAGCACAAGAAGCATTGACTGTTTACATGACAAAACTTTATAATCACCCTTACATAGAACTAATGAATCCTATGATAGTGGGCACCAAGATCCCTCTGGGATACCCAATGTACAGCTATGGTACAGCTGCTCTTGTGTAATTCCTTTGGAAAACAATTTTGTGGACTAATGGTTTCTATAATGATTCTTTCTCCAAATAATCTCTGCAGATGAGTGGAACAAACATAGCCATGAATACCCTGGACCAATCCCTGGAGCAGACCTGTGCTGTCCTCAGGGGTGTAGACGAACGCCATATTGAGTGTCTGAAAGAGTTCATCAAATGTGAACCACTTATACTCTGGTTGAAGGAGTCGATGCCATGTAAGTTTTATGTCGGTTGATTTAATTATTCATCTTTGCATCTTTTGGGTTATTGTGGTCAAGGTCAAATATTATATATATTCACGGTTCTCACACTGGGTATCCCGATACAGGGAACCAGAGCAGGCACAAATAATGCAGAGTGTAGAATTTATTTAATAAGACGCCATTTTATATAATTTCTTGCAAACATGATGCTAACATTCAGAGGTTTAAAAAAATTCAATAGGGCGATGATCAGGATATCAGATGTTTGGCTAGCCCCATTACTAGATAGGAGCATATACTAGCTAGTCCAATAGCCTTAGCCATTTGAGTATACAAGGCTGAAATAACACAAAACCCTTTCCTAAATCATACACAGCAAATTATTTTACAACCCAATGTTTTCTGGGGCCTTTGGTCTTTTGATATTATTTAAAATGAGAAGAAAATATATTAGATTTAGCGATTTGAAAATGGAAGATTGAAGAGGATTGTGCTACACCGACAATGAAATGAAAGAGGATCTTAGTGGATCATTGTGTTCGAGAACATGGCGATCATATATTAAAATACCATCAGTTATTATTGGATACAAAGTCAGCGGCTTTACATAACCGAATCAAGATTCCCAAAGGGACTTATAGAAGTAAAAAATAAAGAAGTGTGCAAAACTGAACATTAATTGGACAATATAGTGCCAAATATTCATATCGAAACTTGATAATAATTGTTCTTTGTGCCAATTTATCCATATACATTTTGCCTAAAGTGTTTTTTTAGTTAAGTATGTACAAGCATATCTCTTTAAGCTTTGGGAAGAGCCATTTTTTCTTGCTAAGGGAACCAAAAATAAAATGGAATGTTTTTATGTAAGCTTGACTATTTTCATTCATTGAGAAAAAAGGTTCCCACACTTTCTCATTTACTACTCCAACTTACTGTTTTACTCGATCAACAGTTTTTAATTTGATTTTTCTGGTTTTAGCTGGTTTGAAGGAACTGAAAGTGTTTGTGGATTTGGCAAGTATCTCTGCTGGAGAAGGAGATATAGAGATTGCCAAGGTGCGGTGTTTACACTCCGCCACCACGGGATACGCTCCACTCATCTTCAACCTCACAGATGACATAGGCTATAAAGATTTCCTGAAGAAATGTAAGATGGTGTGGAAAGAACTGGACGCTGATCCCAACCTCCCTAAGAAGTTGGTAGGTATATTGTTTTCTAACTATAAATGTGCCTTGTTGTCACTCTACTGCAATATCTGTTTTCTGATTAGAAAAGATGGTTACTCTAAACTGGCATCTTATTGGTCAAAATTTGTTTATTTCAAATTTTGATCAAAATTAGTTTGTATGTGTATTTTCACTATCTCTTCACTTTCTCTTTCAATTTCATTTATATGCAAATGTTTAAATGGCCACTATGACCTGGCTTCTGAGTGGTTGAAAATTATGCCATTGCTTGATTTTGATGAAAATTAGTATGCTTGTGTACTATTGCACTATAAACTCAACTATATATACCTTCCGTTTTGTAATTATACCCCCCGCAATGAAGTTAGGGAGGGTATACTGGAATCACTTTGTCTGTCAGTAGACAAAATATTGTACCTTCTTCTCCTCCTAGGTTTATGCATCGATTTTGATAACTTTCGAGGTATTGGGGTCAAAGGTCACAGATGAATTACGTTATTGAAATGGCCAATATTATCTCTGAAACAGTAGGTATTGTGTATACACATATACATTGGAATATTGTAGGCATTAGGCAACATCCCTGCAGGTGGAAGATTGGGAAAAGAATACACCTGCTGTTACCCTGACTGCATGTAATGTAGGAGGCGACTAATGGTCGAACCCCCTGCAGAATTGGGGATTTGCTTTGGTGTCCTCTATTTGGGTTACTGCCCCCTGATGTTGTGCATCCAAGTAGTACTTTTTCATTCAAACCCTTTTTAAAGAAGTTTTGGTCCTTTGTTGAAAAAAACCCTTTGTCTGTCTCCAAAACTAATGGTCCAATTTCAATGAAAGTTTACAGATATGGTAATTACCCCCTGATGTTGTGCATCGGGGTAGTACTAGTACTGTTTTCATTTCGACCCTTTTGTAAACAGTTATGGCGCTTTGTTAAAAATCTTTGTCCTGACAACTCTTCCTTAACTACTAGGATGATATCAGCAAAACTGGTTCATCTGGGCTAACACGATTTGGTTTGCAAGTATGTTTTGCCGTTGGGAGGGAGTACAGAAAGTATGTCAGTTACCTATATACTTAAATAAGTGTACAGCTCAGTGAATAAAGAAATCATTACTGGTGGGAGACTATGGATTGTTTGCAATGCTTTGTTTTACTTAGCCTTTGGCTTACAGTTCTAGTTTCTTCTTGTTACATTTCCATGTGTTTATACATTTAGATACATTAATGCAATAGAAGGATGTTAAGTATGTCAGTTAAGTAGGCGATGGGCATGTATTGTTCCACCCTGTATTAACTCTTGTTAAAATGATATAGGATGTATTGTTACTAAACATTAAGTAATTTGGCTTAAATTTTATTTAATTATCCTCTTATTTGACATTTAATCAACAAAAGAAGTTCTCGTCTGTTTCAGCATGATACCAACAGAAAAATTGAGTGGCTCAAGACTGTGAAAAAAGCTCATGGTTCTGTTGAAGTTACCTCCCTTGCACAAACCGAGGCAATAAACACTGCCGGGTTTTATCGAGTTGGTCGTTTGGGAAATCAGGAATGGGAACAAAAACCTGTAAGTGTCTTTTTCAAGTTAATCTATGATATTACCATTGTCACTTTTGTGGAATGTTTTTAAGCCCTTTTTAAAGAAGAAATACCACATTTAAAAAAAAACACTCTGAGTAGAATTCCTCTTTGCGATTATAACTGATGCAGTTGTTCCGCCTTTACCTTAAAAGACATCTCTACAGCTTCATTAAGGTCAAGGTCAAGGAAATGTGCTGTAAGGTGACATTAGTTCTCCACATTAATTAAGCTTCTTTTAATGAATTTGTTATGCAGAACTAAAAAATTACACAATTATAACAATTATGGTACAAAAATTAAGTTAATACTTTAAAATTATTATAGTAACCTATAGCTTGGTTACAGTTCTCTGCATGCCTTCTTTCAATGTTTGTTTTTGTGTGATATTTTTATCCCACCATCATCATCAGGTGATGGGCATTTCAAATCACTCTGCGTCCGTGGTCCGTCCTTAAACAATTGTTGTTAGCGCTATTTCTTAGAAAGAACTGAAAGGATCTTTCTCAAATTTCACATGAAGGTTCCCCATGATCCCTAGTTATGCATAACGCTTTTTGGGACTGATGACAAAACCAAAATGGCAGACAGGCAGCCATCTTGAATTTGCAAATTAGTTTATTAGCGCTATTTTTCAGTATGTTCAGGAGGGGGCTTTCTCAAATTTCCCACAAAGGTTCCTGATGATTCTAGTTCCACATTTCAAATTTTGGTGATTTTTATCGTATCGAATTTAGGAGTTAAAGTAATTTAGCCCTATTGCTCAAAAAGTATGTGAGGGATCTTTCTCAAATTTCACATAAGGGTTCCTCTTGTTCTTATATGTTGCATATTAAACCATATTGGCGGGCCATCTTGTTATAGTTTAAGTTTGTGTCTGGAGGAATTTTTCTTATATATTTGGCCAGTAACATGCTGGGATGAATATAAACCTATGTCCACGATATTGATATCTGGCCACAAGAATGTCAAATATGTTGAAATATTTAAACAACTTCTTCTTTATAACCAAAAGGACCAGAGTGATGTTATTTGGTCATTAGCATGCTTGGATGAAGAGCTACCAACCTTTTTCAAATGAATGACCTTTGCCCATTTTCAAGGTCACAATGGTCAAATATGTTTTAAACCTTTCAATGACTTCTTCTGAATAACAAAAAGACCCAGGGTGATGATATTGGGCCAGTAACATGCTGGGATGAAGGGCTTCCAAGTCTGTTCAAATGAATGACCTTTACTTATATTCAAGGTCACAGGAGTCAAATGTGTTTAAATATTTTAACAGGTTCCTTTGAAAGGCCTATAGTCATCAACACTGATATTTTGCCTGTAGCTTTATTTAAGTCCACTTTTAAGGTTAGCGGTATGAGATAAATTCCAGGTGAGCGATGCAGGCCCATTTGGCCTCTTGTTTTATATAAAACCTTAAAAAAAAAAACTGGATGAAAAATATATGGAATCAAAATTGTATGATATAACGGTCAGTCAAAATGTCCCTAATTATTCTGGATGCAAACTTCCCTTATTTGAGATTCAAATCCAGTAAGTTGATCTTTTAAACTGAACAAATGACTGGAGGATAAAGATACATCAAACTACAAATGACTGGAGGATAAAGATACATCAAACTACAAATGACTGGAGGATAAAGATACATCAAACTACAAATGACTGGAGGATAAAGATACATCAAACTACAAATGACTGGAGGATAAAGATACATCAAACTACAAATGACTGGAGGATAAAGATACATCAAACTACAAATGACTGGAGGATAAAGATACATCAAACTACAAATGACTGGAGGATAAAGATACATCAAACTACAAATGACTGGAGGATAAAGATACATCAAACTACAAATGACTGGAGGATAAAGATACATCAAACTACAAATGACTGGAGGATAAAGATACATCAAACTACAAATGACTGGAGGATAAAGATACATCAAACTACAAATGACTGGAGGATAAAGATACATCAAACTACAAATGACTGGAGGATAAAGATACATCAAACTACAAACATGTATTTATTTCAAATGTTTGAATCAAATCTTCATCGACACAGCAAATTAAGAAACAAACCAATTCAGCACAAAAAACCAAAAGTTGCAGCTCAGTCATTACAACAAAACATACATGGTGAAGTGACCTTCTGAGTGTGACAGGTAATATTTAAAAGCAGGTACTTCATGAATATTCTGATAAAAGAAAGGCTATTCACAACTTGTGAAACTAGTGACTCCTCCACGAAGTAGCTCGCAGACCTATTCATGTACCAGGCAGGATGCTGCGAGGAGAGTATAAAGGTTACTTGGCCTAGCTGTAAGCAGAGGAGGGGGGTTCCTTCATTAGATGCAATGAGTTATTCCCCATCTTATAGTAGCTTGCTGGGCTATTTGGTTCAGATGAGAGATAGGCCTACCATGTATTTTAAATTTGGCTTTTCCTTAATTATCATACAATTCTTCATCTCAGTGCAACTTGTTGAGTTACCAGGTCTGAAAAAATGGGAGATCCAAATACCATAAATCATTCCATATTCTCCTTTAATGGTATCTGAAAAATAAAATCGGCATGCATATGTCGGCAATTATATTGTTCAGTCTGTCATTGTCACTGTAGTGCCCACTTTATTGGATGCTGTGTACAGCATTCATAGCGGTCCTCGCCAAGCCTGGGCAAATTAAAACCAAACAACAGACTTTCTTCTTCCGCGGAAGATCTTTAAATGCTGTCATGACTATTTCATGGTATGATTAATGCTATAAAATAATGAAATACATATGAAAACGATCAATAAATCAAAGAAAAAATGTTAAATTATTACGAAAAGGTGAGTTTTTCCAGTGAGCATCATAAACTATATCAATCTCAAATTACTACACTTTTTGGACCGAATAATTTCTTCACAAAAAAAACAAACAACACTGTATCTCTTTCTGCGAAAGATCTTTAGATAATGTGTTCATTACTTCATGATATGATCAATGCATATGGTAAAATATATCTGTATAAGACAAAAAAATCAAAGAAAATATGTAAAGATCTTTAACAGTAGCGTTTTTAATTAGTGAAAGTTCCGAACTATACTTCAAATTACTACGCCTCGTATTCCAATACTATAAAGTGTGTGTGTAAGAGTTTTCTCCACTTGTCCATCATTGCGTAGTTTTATGCTCGCGACTTGTTGAACGATTGTTGATTACTGGCCTTGATAAAGTAGGCTTCAGTTTTCTTGTCTCAATGGAAAGTGAAAGAGAATGTTATACTCAAGTAGCCGTCAACAGCTGTGCCTAACGAGTTTGTAGATAGCTTCACAATGCGACGGGAGCTGTGCCTAACGAGTTTGTAGATAGCTTCCCAATACAGATAATGGCATGATTAGGATAATACAAGTAACATATTGAACATCAAAAATTAAAACCGTATATACATATTATTGACATTTACCAGAAACTGAATAATTATATAGGTCTTTAACCTTCGTTACAATATCGAGAGAAGGAGCGATACACAAGGGACTTGCACTAGTCCGTGATTATACGCACTGGAAATAATACAATCTTGTTTTAATTTTTTGTATAATTAATCATGGTAATAACAAATCGTAATAATAATATCATAATTATTTATTTATATTATCTATTTACATTTTTTTTTTTTTTTTATATAATCGTAAACTTTCCCATAATCGTACGGGACAATTTTAGTTTGCAGGGTTTTCTGGTCAAGGTCACTGTTATTATTTTTAAAAAGATCATTGTCTGCGCTGTAGCAGCTTCATTCCTTGAAGGATTTCCATTGATTTGAAACACTAATTAAGGACCATTTAATATCAGACAAGTTTCAATTTCAGGGCTGTTTGGTCAAGGTCATCGATACTTATTTTTATACTGCTAATGGTAGCCAGTAAGAGACCTGTATTGTTTTAGCAATACTCTGCTTGTTATATATATTTTTATTGAAAATTATGATTAAGGGATGGGCTATTATGACCCTTACTCTACAACATCTTAATTATTTACTGCCATTCTGTACTGATATACCACCTCCTTTATTCCATTATTTGAATCCTTCATACACAGCATCCCTGAGGGCTCTTGGCACTTTGATATACTTTGATAGTCCATGTTAGACATATACTTTATATTATAATTCTTTTATATTATTCCCGACAAGTGATTGGCTATTGACTTTGAGTGCATGATTTTTGTTGAAGGACTGGGTGTTTCTAAAAATAGAATTACAACGTGTCTCCAAACGATGCACCGTCCCACTTCCATAGCTTTTTATTGTGTTATTTTTTCAGATTGCTTACATTACTGTTTTGAAAATAGTAAAAACAATTGTAGCCTTTAACTTCGGTTGATACCTTGATTTATCGTCCTGAGAAAAGATGTATTGACCTCAGACTGCGTCCTTGGTCAATATATCTAAAGGTTATAATTGAATAATATATATAATACATTGTTGTGCTCTTTGTTGCCATAGGAACTGAAAGATGTGATCAGCCTACATGTGTCAGAAGATGAGAATGGAGCGAGACAGAGAAAACTCTACCACTACGATCTTCTTCATGACCTACAGAGTCGGCTCATGTTGGTGGCTGGCAAGGCAGAGAAGGGTAAAGAAGACGTAGATCGTTTCACAATGGTAACTATCTTTTGTTTACCTAACTAGGTGGTCTTCATGATGTGTTTTTCACTTGAAGTAACATTTACCTCTTTAGGTCACCTGAGACAAAGTCACAAAAAGCAAGTGAGCTTATGCCATGGTGCGACATCTGGCATCCGTTCGGCATCCAGTGTCCAGCCATGATATTTGGCCAGTATTATGCTGGGATGAATTAAGGGCTACCAAGTTTGTTCAAATGAATGACCTTCACCCATATTCAAGGTCACAGGGGTCAAATATGTTAAACTCTATAAACAACTTCTTCTGAATAACTAAAAGGTGGAGGGTAATGATATTTGTCCAGAAGCATGATGGGATAAAAGGCTTTATTAAAGTCTGTTCAACTCAATGTCCTTGTTTGACTTTCAAGGTCACAGGGGTCATATGTTTAAATCTTTTAATAGGTTTTTTAGGTCACCTGAGACAAAGTCTCAAGTGACCTATTGCGATCGCCTTTTGTCCGTCGTCGTCCGTCGTGTGTCCGTAAACAATTTACATTTTCGACTTCTTCTCCAAAACCCCTGAACCAATTTCAATGAAATTTTGCAGGGACCTTCCATGGACAAAGGTCAACAAAAATAGTTGCCGGTTTAGTCCTA